TCATATGTGTTCTACTGAAGAAACAAAGTCACCTACATCTTAGCAGATAAACATAAAATTTTCATTTTTGGGTGAACTATCCCTTTAAGTCCAGTACGTGTTCATCTTAAAATAACATTTACTACTACTAATAATAATATAATAATATTTTTTTTTTGCATTTTATGGGCTTCATCTTATTTTATTTCAGTTAGCTGTCATTTACAATTTTTTAAAGCCTTTTAACCTAATTTTAAATCTAATATTTAGATTTTATTTTAGCTTTATTTCAGTTTAAGGAAATACATTTAATAGTTTCAATGAGAAGCGTTTAATGGTGCATAGCTAGTAAATGCTGGAGTAAAAAGCTAAAGAGATTGTGTACCTGGAATGGCTCGGTGACACCCACAATGGAGCTCATATTGTTGCTATAATAACCCAGTATGAAGTCCCCTGAATCCTTTGGCAATTCTTCCTCGGTAAAAATCACCTGGAGAGTCCAAATCAAAAACTCCTCAGTAAAATTCACAAGCTTCAATATGTGACTTACTTACACAAGTGAATGTCTTTTTTGTGCAACTAAATGTATGATTTGCCCTTACTTGGTGCTCCTGTCTCAGGAAATCAGACTCTTCCTGCTTGGCCCAAACGTAACTCACATAGTCTTTATGATGTTTAAACCCAACCTGTGAATATACATTTTTGTACATATAAACACAACTCGAGTGACAAAAATTATATCTGTAGCTCTACATTTACCATCTTACTCCGACATGTAGATGCTCAGAACTGATGAAATGATTGAAATAACCTTGTAAAGTCCAATCCAGTCCCAAGAGCTTCGAGGAAAGTTGGGTGCCGCCTTGAATTTGGCCACTGCATCTGATATCTCTCTCCATTCATCCTCTACAAAGAGTGTTACCAAAGGCATGTCCACCTTATATGGGAACTGCAAGGAACATCACGTTAAACACATTGCACAAACCCACCATTAAAGTTGCTCTCAATAAGTATCAACAACAACTAATTGAGGCAAAAGTCAAAGACATTCATGACAGGTGAAACAGTACATTTGTACATTTATAACACTATCCTAGAGTATGTGTAACTTGGCGTTAAAGAAATAGTTCACCTAAAAATGAAAAAAATGTACTAATGTACTCACCCTCAGGCCATCCAAGATGTAGATGAGGTTGTTTCTTCATCAGATTTGGAGAAATTGCTCAGCAATGGATGCTCTGCAGTGAATGGGTGCCGTCAGAATGAGATTTGCCTGTAAGAGATCTTAATAAAGCTTGACTTGATTAATATAACGCTTCCTCCAGTGAAAAAGTCCATCTCCTGTTGTCTCTCACATCAAAATCCACCCACATATTTGTTTAGCTCTGTTTTGGACTGATTTGGCTTGTAAACGGTGTGTGCAGATTTCTCTCCTGATTCAGACGAAAGCACTGATTACTGTAGAAAGCAATACTATGGATAGAGAACTAGTATTTTAGCTGGAAGCATACACTCTAAAAAATGCTGGGTTAAATATAACCCATCGCTGGGTTATATTTAACCCAGCATTTTTTAGAGTGTAGGTTTGACGTTTAAACGTCTTAATGATGGTTTTGTTTGTTACAAACACGCATCTTTTCACTTCACATGGCATTAACTGATGGACTGGAGTGCTGTGGATTACTTGTGGATTATCGTGATGTTTTTATCAGCTGTTTGGACTCTGACGGCACCCATTCACTGCAGAGCATCCATTGCTGAGTAAGTCAAGCAAATCTGATGAAGAAACAAAACTCATCTACATCATTGATGGCCTGAGTCATTACAATCAGAACCATGTTAGTGTGCTGACCTGCAGAGTGAAAATAGAGGAGACGGGCTTGTGGTCACTGACGGTGTACTCCATGTGACTGCGGTAAAAATGCTGCGACACACAGGTACCGCTGGTTAGACATGACAACGAGCTGCGCCTCGACATGCTGTTGCTGACCTGAGCCATCGGCCTCAACCGCCAAAGTATGCGATCAGTCCATGCTGGCTTACGCTTCTTACCACTAAGAAAGAAAAAAGATTCACTTAAGTAACAATGCAACAATGGTAACACTTAAGGACCAATTCTCACTATTAACTAGTTGCTTATAAGCATGCATATTACTATCATATTGGGTGTTTATTAGCACTTATAAAGCACATATTAATGCCTTATTCTGCATGACCGTATTCTAGATCCCTTAATTCACCCCATACCTAAACTTAACAACTACCTTAACTATTAATAAGCAGCAAATTAGGAGTTTACTGAGGCAAAAGTCATAGTTAATAGACTTGGACCGGAAAATAAAGTGCAACCGCAATAATAATAGTAGCATTGTAGGAACTGAATACTATAAATGTGCAGGAGTAGCAGCATATATTCTCTTAGGGCACATATAATGCAGTTTTAGAGCTCATAACTCCCTCCCCACTTGAAAAATTTGAAATTTTAAAATTACATAAGGTTGTTGTGGTGGAAGAAAATATACCAAAAATATGTGAAAAATATTATATAATATAAAAAATATACAAAAAAATATGAGTCCAATTTATGTATGCAGTGTTTTTCACAATACACACTGTTTCATTGTTATGTTAATGTTAATCATATCTTCATGCCTTATAGCCGCATTTAGCAGATGGATGATAATATAGCTGCATTTTGTTACAATAAAAGTAATCAAGCAGTTGAAATTTGATATACAGTATATATATATATATATATACTGTATATATATATGACCCTACATGAGTGTACTATGTGCGGAAGTTGGACACTTATATATCCAATTTTATATAAAGAACTCTCTGATATAATAGTTACTTTTTGTGATTAAATCAAAAATAACACTGGAATCTGCTATATAGTATACAGTATATTGCTTGACGTGAGTGTACTGTATGTATGCAAAAAAAGTAACCCTTTACAAGTCCTTAACTATTTTTAGTCCATCTGAATCTGTTTAGAAGCATGATCTGATTCAAATGAAAAAAGTATGAAATGTCCTTTACCTGGTATCATACGTGTCTGTACCCACATCAAACTTATACGTAGGAGGGAATTTAATCGGGCCCTCGTGAAAGCCTTCGAGCACAGTCTCACTGTCTTTAGCCATATTCAGCTGCAGGACAAAGAGGACAACTCTACATTTAGTGTCACTATACTAGCACAGGGAAATATATAGATTAAACAAACATATTTATAATGCATTGTGTTTTGTCAATGTCTCGAGCTAAACTAAAAGGTATCTAAACGCCTTGTACAAAACAGTCACTCCTTCTTCAAAAGCATTTCATATTTTCATAATATTGACATAATGTTATTATCTGTAAAAACATGATCTTTGACAGTTAGAGGGACTCACCTGGTCTTTTTCCCATAATGTGGACAGTTTGTTACTGTCAATGGCTGCTTTCACAACTTGCATATCCAGGTCGTCGATTCGGAAGTTCAGGTCTCCAAACCAGAAAACCACACTGCAAACATTTATCCACGAGTCACATCACACAGATTTCAATATTAGTTTCAAGATCATATGGCCAATATATTTCATGGATTGGTCATATAATCATAGCAAACTCTACTAACATAATCTCATGAGAAAACACAACAGATCTTACAAATTGTCCATTTAAAATGCATTTATACAATTTGGTTCATGTAAAAATATAAATAGATCTAACCATCAGTAGAGCATGAGCACATGGTACAATAACATACGAATGAGATGCAAATTCGCCAGAAAGTAACATTTCCAACCACAGTGTTTTGTAGTAAATTAATTTAATGACAAGAAAAGCATGAGCAGAATTAGACATGGTTAGCTTTGTCTAAATAAATAAATGTTTTATTGTAGGGACATGTTCTTTTATTTTAATTTTGCAAAAAAAAATCTAACTGTAGACATACAGAAAACTGTATGTCTAATATAAAATCTGGGACCAGAAGCAAAAGCAGCTGAGAAGCAAGTCGTCCCTGAGGGAAACTGATACAACTGCACCATCTGTTGGTGAGATAAATAATTATGAATTATAATAAATGTGCAAAGAATTGTGGCTCACTTAGTTACACTTTCTTTGTAAGGCCCTGATGGGAATTAAATATGGGTGCAGTAATAACAATAGTGTGTTTATACTTTGTAAATCGTATAGTGTGTGTGTGTGTGTGTGTGTGTGTGTGTGTCTGTGAGAGTGAGTGAGTGTGTGAGAGAGAGAGAGAGAGAGAGTGTGTGTGTGTGTGTGTGTGTGTGTGTGTGTGTGTGTGTGTGTGTGTGTGTGTGAGAGTGAGTGAGTGTGTGAGAGAGAGAGAGAGAGAGAGTGTGTGTGTGTGTGTGTGTGTGTGTGTGTGTGTGTGTGTGTGTGTGTGTGTGTGAGAGAGAGAA